GTAACTAATGCAAGTGAAGATATCTCTCCAACTCTCCAAGACTGGTGGAGACCACAACTTAGGGCCGGATGGATAACCCCCCTCCCTCCCCGCCTAGCATCGTCAAACTCGAACCAGGGCCTTCCTTGTACAACATATATTATTGTCCATTACGGAGTACTATTGTGTCACTTACTTCCTAGCTCTGCATATCCTGAAAAATCACATATAGATTCCTTGGTGATCCCCCCGCTACCCCACTATGGCTTCCAACTCGAACGCGCGCCCCGCCAAGGTGTTATTTGTCTGCCTGGGAAACATCTGTTCGTCATACTCGGTTTTTCTCCACCATTGCGATATACTAATCTAGTCTAGGTCGTTCCCCGATGGCTGAAGGAGTCTTCCGCAACCTGGCCGGCGCTCACCCTTCCGTCGGTGAGATCGACTCCGCCGGTACAGCCGCCTACCACAGCCTCGAGCCGCCCGACTCCCGCACCATGTCTACTCTGCGCCGCCACAAAATCACCGATTACGAGCATGCTGCCCGCAAAGTGACAAGGGAAGACTTCCTCACATTTGACTACCTGCTCGCTATGGACAAGTCGAATCTCCGCGACCTGCAGGATGTGCGCGAGTCGGTCATTGCGACGCTGCAGAGGAAGACCGATACCAAGCAAAGCTCGAGGAGTACGCGTTCGCACGTCGATGCTGCCATCGGTGCATACGGGGCTGAAACGAAGGTTGCCGAGGTGCGGTTGTTTGGTGATTTCGGCAAGGGTGGAAAACTGCACGATCGCATTGGCAGCGGTGAGGTGGTTAAGGATCCTTACTATGGGGGCGCTAATGGCTTCGAGGAGGTGTACCAACAGGCTGTCCGATTTTCCCAAAACTTTGTGGAATACTTGGAGCAAAACCCCATTGACTCTTGAGTGAATGGTGCTGGCCACACCACCGGGGAATAAAAGTCAGAGACCATGAACCTTGATACCCTGCGATGAGAGATAGATTAGATCGGGCACATGAATCAAATTAGAATATACAATGTTAAAATATGGCTAGGAATATCGAGATGAGTAGTCGTATAGTACATACAGTCCTGGATGGCAGCAGAATATCTAAATGGTGGCGCAACCCCGGCACATGCGTCCCGCCAAATTGTGATATCAAATCTTCTCGCTGATCTTGATAGCGGTCCTGCATCCAAGACGGATGACATCAACGAGCGGATCGTAGGGCTTCGCCTCCTTTGAGTCGTTGGCCACGGCATGGTCGAGATGTTCTAGTTCCTCGTCACGAATTCTCCGGAATGTCGCCAACATTTCTTTAAGCTCCTCATCCAGCTCCTCCCCTCGCCTTTTGGCATCTGCCTCCCAAGAGAGAATCTCTCTTACTTGGTCGTTGTAGTGTGATCCGATTTCAGTCTCCACGGCTTCGGTGCACGCCATCGCAGCTTCGCGACCCAGTGCCGCAGTCGACCAACCCAAGAATGTGGCAGCCACCTCCCATGCCGGATACATGGCGGTCGGTCGGATCTGGTGTTTGGCGATGAGGTGATTGAAAGTCTTGAGGTGTCCTTCTTCCTGGTCGTACATGTGTTTCATCAAGGGTCGGAGGTGCGGGTATGAGCGGACGATCTGAGGTGTTTGCGCTTTATAGATCAGCGTTGCGGCAAGCTCACCGGCCTGATTCACTCGTAGGGCACTGTCCATGAATTCTCGCTGCTCTTTGCTAAGAACATATAGAGGTTTGGAGGCACCGGAGGTGCCGGCGGTAGTTGAAGCCTGCCTACATTGGCCATGCTTAGATGTTGACGGCACGAGGAAATCGAGACAAATAGGTGTTGTTGCAGGTAGAGAATAACGGCAATGCGACAAGGCGCACCTTCGCAGAATAGGTAAAGGCAACATCGTGGAATCAAATTGGACTTCCAATGAAGCCAATTCCAGGGACGAAGCTTAGAGGTCGCGTGTTTGTCGCTTATATCGGCTTGGCGCTGCCGCGCGCTTATAATAGGCTTGGCATTGAACGTCATGAAGTTGACGGCTAAGGCCAACTTGCGACGACCATCTACCTGCTTTTTACGATACCCTCCATTACGTTCACCCTTTGTCCCGTGTACAGAGTGTTTGTTGAATTTGGGACATCACTCGATCTTGAGCAGACATTTTGGACCGCATTTTGCAAGTCTTGCCAACTTCTCCATATTTGGAACGACTCCTGGAAAGGAGGGAATAAGTCTATAGGAGCAAGAATACTCCTATTGTTCTAGGGCTGTTGAATGCCTATTGATATATAGGCTCTTTGCTTATTGAGTTCTATTAAGGGTATAAGTTGTATTGAGACATTTTCACAATGGCAGACGATTTGGATGCTGAGCTGCTCGCTTTGGCGGGTGACTCTGAGGAGGAAACTTCACCACCCCCCAAATCACCAGCGCACTCCGCTTCTTCACACGACCAAGATCGAGATACCTCACCTGCAAGCATGGCTCGCAAAGGAACCGCCAAATCGATGGGGCGCCGATCTCGCAAGCCTGCGAAAGATGAATCGGAGGGCGAAGTGTGAGCAGTGCCCCTCTATTTTGATAATCAAGAGCCTTACTGACCTGGCAACGTATACAGGTCTGACGATGGATCCCGTCACTCGCTTCAGTCTGCCCCAATGTCCGAGTCCGAGTCAGAGGCCGACAACTCCGGCGACAACGACGAGGATCGCCCCATTTTCCCATATGATAAGTTGTACTACTCGGCCCAGGACAAAAAGGACATCATGGCTATGCCTGAAATCCAGCGCGAGGAAACCCTGTCCGAACGTGCCCAGCAAGTCGATCGCCACAACCAGGATCTGGCTCTACGCCGCCTTCTAGCATCTCGCTCGCGCGAGGAAGCACGGGCAGCTAAGAAAGCCAAGCGAAAGGCAGGCTCCGCCGGCTTGGATGATAATCAACGCAAGAGCTCGCGCCAGAAGACCACTCTTGGTGGCCGCAAAGTCGGAGAAACGTCTGGAGCCATCGAGGCTTACAAGCGCCAACGTGAGCAGAAGGGCAAGCGGGATGAACTCCGTCGCCGAGACCCTACAAAATCGCGCCGTTCGCACTCCATGGGGTCTGATGTTTCTGATGAAGATGCTGATGCCGAGAGTGATCTTGAATTGGATGACCGCGTTGGCCGTTCTGTTTCCATTCCCAAGGATGACCCGCCCGCCGAGCTTCGGGAAATCCGACGTGCTCAAGTTGGACGTAACAACTTTGCCAAAGTTTGCTTCTACCCCGGATTTGAGAACGCTATGATCGGCTGCTACGCTCGGCTGAGCATTGGCCCGCACCCCGACAGTGGTCAGAACGAATATCGCCTGGGCCTGATTACTGGTAAGAACTTATGCTGCCTCGCTTGTTTATGCATGCTGACCTTTTTCTAGGAATCTCCCAGGGCAAGCCATACGCCTTAGAGGGCGAAAACGGCCGCTCATTTGTCACCGATCAGTACGTCAAGTTAGCACACGGAAAGGCTGTTAGGGACTTCCCATTCGTCACTTTCTCCAATTCTCCACTTACTGAGGTTTGTTTTCTTCCTCTCAAATCTCAAATCTTGCAAGCCAACTAACAGATAACTAGGCCGAGTACCGCCGTTACGTTCAGACCCTCGCCGTTGAGGATTGCAAGCTGGCTACAAAGGGCAAAGTTGAGTCGAAAGTCGCCGACATCAACCGTCTCCTCAACCATACATTCACTCGGGAGGAACTGAACGAGAAACTCCGTCGCCAGGGTGCTTTCGACCAGAAGAAGAATGTGCTTAATCGTCTCGAACTTGAAAGAAATCTGGAATTCGCTAAAGTCAACGGAGACATGGAGGAAGCCGAGAAGATCGAGGCAGAATTGCAGAAAATGGTCAATCCGACCTTGTCCTGGGGGACAACTCTTGTCAAGAAGGAGGTCGACAGGGGTCCATCGGAAGCCGAACGAGTCCACCAGATCAACCTTCGCAACCAGAAGCTTAATATTGAGAACGGTCGTCGTGCTCAGCTCGAGGAGAGAAAGGCTGCTAAGAAGGCAGCCGAGGCTGTTGCCCGCGGAGAGGCTGCTCCAAATCCCTTTATGCGCGTGCGAACAGTGGCCAAAACTCACCATGATCTCAGTGGGGCAGCTAAATCCGCTGCCGCCGACGCTTCTGTGGACAACCAGCAAAATACCCTTGATGCCGAAAAATCCAACGGCAATCCCACACAGAAGGGAACTGCCGCCTCCCGCGTCACTCCAAAGAAGCCCAAGAATGGCTTCATGATTAGCTACCGCAACACCGATGATGAGAACATTGCAGCCCTCGATATGGACATTGACATCGAGATTTAATCTCACTCAAGAATGCCCTTTTGTCCTACGTTTCAGTTTGATGACGTTTGTTCGACGAACCTTTATTGAGAAGATTCATTGGTTTTGATTCCATGATTCCCCGAACATGTCTAATTTCCCAAGGAGCCGTGGCGGTGATTGGCTCAAAGCCTTGCCTGTATTGTGATTGTATTTTTTTTGCTTTCAGTTTTTCTTACGCGATATTTGAGGAGTCCATGGGTGATCTCGGCGTCTATTCACAAAATAGCATCAAGCTTTGTATTATGAGATTCCAGGGAATAACAGCATGAGCAATACTCCCATCGTTGTTAGCAGCGCAGCATTGATCTACCGAAAGAGGTACTTACATCAGAATCACACAAAACACCCCTACAAAAAAAGATGAAAATATGAAAATATCACTTGCTATTACAATACTTCCATAGTTGGTCGTAGGAATAATAAATCCAATTAACGCCCACTTGAGACAAATTAGGCGATAAGATAAGGTCACGTGTGGGGCCTAGCAACGCGAGGAACGCGCATCGCGTTCAGACTATGCGCCCTTGAACCTGGCATCCACTCCACCTTATTCCGGACCTTGGAAGTCTCAAAGTCCGCCGTCAGGTACAATCGATATCATTATGAAAACTATTTCCTAAAATCCACCATAATTCACCATAATATTCACGACATGTCTTCGCCATCCACACCACGGTCGACGCGTTCCGCGTCGCCCACCGGCGATTCGCCGAACATTATTACGCCCGGCCAGAAGATCAAGGCCATGATGGCGGAATTCGACAGCGATTCGGAAGACGACACTCAAGTTGCCAAGTCAATAAATGCTGTCTCGAAGCTTGATTTAGGGCGTACTTCGGTGCCGGCTGCTGATACACGTGAGAATGGCCCATTGCACGACTCAGCAGACGATTCAGACAGCGCAGATGAGATTTTCCGACCGAAAGGCCGTATGGCTGCCCGTTTACAGGGTAATTCTAGATCGGCTGAACCCGAGAACGATGATTCAGCATTTGCTCGCGTGTCAAAGGCAATCCGATTAGAAAAGAAACAGGACGAGACGCCTCAGCAGACAGAAGAACCACAACCCACACCCATCGGCGAATCTAGTGATGATGATGACCTACCTGCGGCCGGTCCGAGGAGAAAGCATAAGTCCACAACCAACTCGCCCAGGGCCGCCAACCGAATGAGCCAAAGCCCTCCCCGTTCCAGACCCGACTCTCCTCTCTTCGTATCCTCTCCAGGCCAACCGCATGACGACCTAGACACCCAAAATGAAGACACAGAAAATGCCACTGAGAACAAGCCTAAAGGAAACGCCCGTTTCCTGTCTCTTGTCGCTCAAAAGCGCAAGGAACGCGAGGAGCGAGAGAAAGTCGAGGCCGAAAAGAAGAAGGCCATCCGAAAAGTTCAGCTGGAGCAGTTTAGTTCGCAGGTCCTCTCAGGCGAGGAGAGCGGTGCTGATGATCCCCGTTCTGCGAGCAAGCTCTCCCAGAAGGCTCGTCAGCCCCGGAAAGCCAGCAAAAAGGCACTGGATGAAATGAGGCAGGAGACCCAGCGAATGAGCCGTAACATGCAACTAGCTCACCAGGCCAAGACAAAGAAGAAAATTACCAAAGAAAGCCTGTTCGCCAAATTCAACTTCATGCAACCCGCTACCCCAGCCGAGCAGCTCGCGGCAAATTCATCGTCAGCAGTCGGATCACAAAATTCCTCTGACGGAGAACTACGGAACAAAACCAAAGATACTCCACATACTTCTCCAGTTCTTGGGCATTTGGACGCCACCAAATCCACTGCTGATTCTGGGCATGCCCAAGTTCAAGCAGCTGAAGTGGATGCGGATATGGATGCGGACACTGAATATTTACCTGCCCCGAAAGACCTCCTGGCGCCAAACCAGCATCCTGCATTGTCCAAGGGCACTGCAGTCCAGGAGGTCCCAATTCCCGTACCTGAGCCCAACCCAGAGGGTGCTAAATTGAAGAGAGTTTCTCGCCCACTGACACAACCACCTATCCGCGTGCTGCTTTCCAGGCAAGAGGTTGCTGCGCACCAGAGAGATTTGGACGATTCAGATAGCGATCTTGAGGTGGTAACATCCCCTGGCAAGTGCCGTCGCATTGCAGCATTCGAAAACCTGCCTACTAGGCAGAGGCATGAAGACCCCTCTATGACCAAGCTCAAGGCATTGGCACATCTGACATCTCCTACCCGAAAAATGGCATCCATGAACTCCGCAGAGCTCTCCGCAAGTCTATTATGGCGGGCTCGACAGCAAGCGGCCAAGGAGCGCCGGGAGCGCATTGAAGAGCTCAGGGCCAAGGGAGTGGTCATTGAAACAGCCGAGGAGCGTGTAGCGATGGAGGATGACATGGAAAATCTTGTGGACAAAGCACGCAAAGAGGCCGATGAAATCCGCCGACAGGAGAATGCTGCTAGGAAGAAGGCCAACGGCGACGACGAAGACGAAGACGATGACTACGAGCTTTCCGGTTCTGACCAGGAGGCTGATGGCGAAGGAGACGATGAAGATGACCAGGAGGAAGAACATGAGCGCGTCAATGGTGGCGGGGATCTCGTCGAACAGGAGGCAGATGAAGACGACGATTCCGCTGATGATGAGAGTGAGGTCGCTCCTTCAGATGCAGAGAACGAGATGCCTACCGCGAGACGGAAGCGACCAACTCGCGTGATTAGCGACGACGAAGATGAAGACCAACCACAACCACCTTCAACGCCTGTGAGAGCCCCGAGTTATGTCCCACAGTCCGCCGAACGACCCAACTTCCTCGGGATGGGAACATCAGGCGATATGTCCTTAGGTCTTACTCAGGCATTTGCCTCCACATTGGATGGCAATGGTGCTGGCACTCAAGTGGAATCTGCCACCATGCCCTTCTCTCTTCCAGACCCTGGTCGGCCTGTTCCTCAACTTCGAAAGGAGGAATCAGAGGTTCTTGTTCCAGACAGCCAGCCCCAGCCTCAGGATAAAGACTTTATGGAGGGTTATGCACAGAGTGTGGCCCGAGTCTCAGAGTCGCCTGCGCCATACGCCTTCTCGGAGTTTTCCCAATCCCAGCTACCTGACCCAACCCAAGACGAGGGCTTTGTATTCTCACCATTCGATCCAGCAAAAAGATTCAGGGGTACCCCGCCTATGTCTACCGTCGACACCGTCCTTGTGGGTCAAACTCAGTCGCCCATTGCCGATCGCAAGCGCAAAATGTTGCGGCGCGGACGTGCAACTGAACTTTCTCAATTGGACGAGAATGAGAATGAAGGTGACTTTGAAATCGATGCCAATGCCTTCAATGTCTTGAAGAAGGATAAGGCTGTAAAGAAGGGTCCTGCTGCGCAATACAACAAGAAAAACAGCAAGGCGAAAGACATTGTCGATGAGGCTGCCGAAGAATCCGAGGATGAATACGCAGGCCTTGGAGGTCACAGTGACGAGAGCGACGGCGAAGAAAATGCCATTGATCGCCATATGATCAATGACAACAGTGGCGAGGTGGTTGATGAGAAGGAGCTTGCCGCACTCAATGCGTATGTTAAGGGTTTGGCTTATGGCCCATGGAAAGATACTAACATTCTTATAGGGTTCACGATCGCAACCGTGACGAGAAAGATGTCGCCAAGTTGATGAAAGATATCACGACTGGAGCCCTCCGTCGTCGCAAGAATGCGGATGATGACTTTGACCTCGACGACTCGGACGATGAGCACCTAGCACGTCGTCGTGAGAAGCAACGCGAGTTCGCTAAGATGCGCCGTGCTCTTTTGGCAGATGAGAAAATCGGCGAGATTGCCGAGAACCCCAAGAAGGCCGCATTCTTCAAGGCCGTTGAGGACCGTGAAGTTGATGATGACTTCAATATCGACTTCCTGAATGAAGAAGAGGACGCCTCCCAAGGAGAAGCATCTCAGGACCCCGCTTCAGGAGAACATTCCAATGATGCGACGAGTGATGGTCAGAACCGCAAACGCCCTCTCGAACCATCAGCTGAAGATGCAACCAACCGTCCGGCGGCTCGCCTCCGTCGCACCCCCGCCAGTGCAATGTCCAAGAAACCAGCCACCATAGCAGAGATTCGTGAAACGTTGTCCTTCCTCACCGAAACCCCGGAATACGACTCCTTCCAGGACGATGCTTCTCTCGACGATGCAGAACATGAGCAAGAAGATGAAGATACTCCCGGTGGGGACGAAGGCGATGATGATCAACCACAACCGGACACCACCTTCGCCAAACCCAGCCACCCACGCCGCACGCGCGGAGTTGTGGTTGACCGTCTTGCACTCCTCCGACAAGCATCCTCCAATTCCGCCACAGGCACCAACACTGGCTCTGCAAACTCCAAGCTTGCATTCCACAGCGGCAGCGGCGGAGAGGGTCCCATTGGCTTCCGCCCTCCCCAACTTCTGCGTCGCGTTACAACTGGCTCTTCCTCTTCCAGTAGCTCGAACGCCTCCAACCGTGTCTCCAAAGCCGCAGCTTCGGGTCCTAAGAAGGGCGGTGCCGTCAACTCCTATACAGCTGCGCGTGAGCGTGAGCGTGAGAAGGAGCTCCGCATCAAGCAACGCAGCGGGGGATCTAACATTGCCAAGTTGCTGGGTAAGCATACTGGTGGTGGTTTGGGTGGCCTGGATAAAGGCCAATGGGACTGAATGGATGCCTCATGGCATTAGTGAGTCTTGCTTTCTGCATGGGTGCGCGGTTGCTTTTTTTATGTTATGGTATGAGGGAATAGGATTGGTTTTACCGTAGTTCTAAGGTCATATGGATTTGGAGGATTAGGCGCATTGTTCATGATTCACGTCACATATTCAATCAAACATTTAGATTGTACATTTCTCTGCTGGTCTTTCTTAGCACTGAGTTTTGAGTAATTTATGTGTTCTTCTTTTTGCTCCACAACGAGCTATCGGGTCTGTGGATTCCACAAAAACCAAAAAAAGATGTGCATCATCCGTGAATCGAACACGGGCCTCGTCGATGGCAACGACGAATTCTACCACTAGACCAATGATGCTGAAGGACCAGGCGAATCTGAGCGCTGATTCGTTGGTGATGTGAGAGAGCTCGCTATTGAAGTAGAAGAGGGTCAAACATGGATGTAATTGACGCCTAGACCCCCACCTTGAATCATCTTCCGAAGGTATTACAAGACTACAGTGGAGAATAAGTGTGATCAGGATCAATGATAATAGATGATGATGATCTAACTAGCTGCCATGAAGCTGCATCTATATAGCTTCATAGGGCAAAGAAACCATCTAGTAGAAATCAAGCAAAGGTACATCTGTCACACTGCATGAAGGTAAAAAAAGACACCTGCACAAAAGCTCTGCTATGAATACATCACCACCTTACTTAGAAATGTAGATATAGTTGGGCTCGTCCTAGGGTTCAACCCAAACTTCTAAATATGAGAGGGAGGCACCGGCAGCTTTAGCGCGAGTATGGGCGACTATAGGGATCACCATCACATAACTCTCTCATTGGTTTATATTGCCTGGCAGTAACTTAGACCCAGTTATATACTAGTTAGTAGTAATATTGAACCCAGATGATGCCTGATAATGCGTTAGAAAAGATATATAAAGAGACAACCAGAAAGACAACTAGAAAGACAACTAGAAAGACAACTAGAAAGACCCTAAGAAGAACGTCCAAAAAAGAAGATCTAGTAAGATGTCAGTGTATATATATATAGTATGCCTAATACCATTTTTGTTACATAATAGTAGTTAGTCAGCACAGACCCGCTGCCCCTCCATAGGCAGCGTGGGCTTGCTACGAATAGAAACCATCTTGCCTTCCCCTGACTATCAGTGTAACAACTGGTAGCATGTCCTAGGTTCCATCTAGGACCCTAGTTTTCGTTTTTTTTAGCAGTTTTTCAAAATTTTTTTCGTTTTATATCCGCGAGAGCGACGAAGACTACTGCGTGGTACCCGCGTAGTAGTAGACCCGACGCGTAAGCGACGAAGACTACTACGTAGCACCCGCGTAGTAGTAGAACTCTATCACCCTTCCCTATCTATTAGACCTCGATCCTTACTACGTAGTACCCGTATAGTAAGGATCGCTATCTCTTACTACCCGTCGAATTACGTAGTATCCGCGTAGTCGGAGCGGTAAGAGAGAAGAATTTTTTTCTAACGGTAAAACCCTCTTAGCGGCGGTAGCTAGATAACCCTACCGCCCTAGTTAACGACTACCGAATAGTAAGCCCGCGTACTAAGGCTAGTATTTTAACTATAGCTCTATATCGAAGATATAGATAGGCCTTACCGATAACTCTTTATAGATAACGTAACCTAGTTAATAGAGTAAGTTACTTATAACTAAGTAAGGCCCTTCCTACCTATATTCCTTATAATCCTATTCCGCTTTCTACCTAAGTAGCTTCTAGAAAGTAGCTAGCTAATTAAGAAAGCTATATAGGATCTACTACGACTCTATAGATACCTCTAATAGGGGTAGGCTATAAAGTAATAGTAGCCGGGTTCTATAGAGTAACCTTTAGAATAACCTATAACTCCTTAGCGGCTATACCGCTTATAAAGTCTTATAAGTACTATAAGGCTAGCCGTACCTTAGGTATATAAACGAGCTCGATTATAAATCTTAGTAGCGAAATATAGTTAGAGTCTATCTCTATCGCTTATTAAGTTCGGCTATAGTAATATACTACCCGCTATACTAACCGGACGAGATAAAGATATAGTACCGCCGCCTAGTATATTCCTAGACTCGGCTCTACGTCCTTACCCCTAACCGAGTAAGGACGAACTATCTAGATAGTTTATATAAGCGATAGGAATAGTCCTAATAGGGTAACGCTAGTAACGATAGGAATAATAGCGCCGATAGGATAACTAATACTAAGAGCCTCTAGTCGAGAGATATATAAGAGTATAGACTACCGAGACGGAAACGTTAGAATCCGGATTCTCGCTATAATAAATAGCGATATTAATAGAGATAATGTTGGAGTCACGTGACGGCCATGTGGGGCCGCAGGTGATCCTGACCCACAGAACTCAGGATATTGTTAGACAGTAGCTAGTTTTTCTTCTCTTCTTTTCTTTCTCTCCAGAGTCTACAATATTAATCCCTTGAGGTTAACATTCATTCCTACATAGCCTATATTCCATCTAATAGGTTATAAGCCCTTACTCGTACGACTCCGAGTATCTTTTCGTTGAAATTTTCAACTAATCAGAGTTTTCATTTTTCATTTATAGGACGCGTTTTTCGGCCCGTTCCGTATCTCCACTTTTCGACTATCGATCCTATCATTGATTTTCATCGACGATCTTATCGTAAGTCAACATTTTCATTATTCTAATTATCTAGGAAGCTTCGTTTTCCGTGGTTACCTTATCGACGCGACGGACGGTACCGATTCGCGTATTTCTTTCGATCGAGACCGAAGACAGACACTCGATATATAGTTAAAATAACTAGTTCCTACGATAATAACGATAACGGAGGAGAAGATTCCTTACATTCTCTCCCCGCTTCTCGCTAGTAACATAATCCTATTTCTAATAGTTAGCAATAGTATTAACGTAGTCCTATTAGACGGATACGTATATAGGGGACTAATCTTCCGGAAGTAAAGGAGATTAAGCTTAATAAGGATATTAAATTAGCTCTTAATAATAGTAATCTAGTAAGATAGAAACGATAGATTATTAATAGATTGAGTATAGCGCGAATCGATTAGGTCGCCGACTATAATCTTCCTCGTCCTACCGAATTCGATCCCGATTACGATTTATAGAGATACTAGTCGAAGATTTTTAGTAGATAGATCGAAGGTTTTCTAGATTAGAAGATTATTATAACTCTTAAAGGATATATAAATAGTTTCCCGATTTACGCCGATTATATATTACGTAAAGTCGAGTCTATTATTCGTAGTACTAGTATTATTAATAATATAAGACGTAAAATAATTAAATTCGATAAGATAAAGAGATTATACTTTAGTTCTACTAAGGACTATATTAATACCTACTAGATATAATATAACTAGCTTAGTATATATAAAGTCGAACCTTACCTATTTAGAGCGTTATTTATAATACTTCGATAACTAGAAGGTAAACTTAAATTAATTACGTTTACCTATAAGACTTTAAAAGATAAGATACTAGATTCCGTTATAAAGGAGGTTTTTAGCGATATATATAAGGTATTAACAATTAAAGTACGCGATATTCCTACTTCGTTATCGTTCGACCCGGAAGCTTCTACTAACGTCGCGCGGAATAATAATAATAATAATTAACGCGGAGGTAGAATAAGAGGTCGAGGCCGTAGTAGTAGAGGTCGTAGAGGTAGTTTATATAACTCTAGATCGGATAATAATAATAATAAGGATAATTAAAATAATTAGAAGGAATAGTATTAAGGTACGAAGAATACGCCGCCTAAGGGTAAGTCGATTAACGAATAGACGGAATAGTAGCGTAATTAATAGCTATAGTATATAAATAGTTTAAAATATACCTACTATAAATATACTAGATATCCTACTAAGATATATTTCTACCTAATAGAGGATCTACCTATAGAGGGATAGAAGCCGCGTAATAATACTTAGTATTATATAACTATATATAAAGGGAAAGGTAAGGCTAGTATTACTCGTACTAATATAACTCGTTCTTCGGAGGACAACTAGATAATTAATAGTAGTACTTCTAAAATAATCACTAGATATTATAAGGACTTCTACGAATACTTAATTTATAAGCTTAGTAAGGAGCTATATAGCTATATAAATGCTAATAGTAAGGTCTAATTAGTAATTAGTTATAGTAAGGCGCCGATTTAAATCAAGAATTCGGAAGATAAGATTAAGATGATTCTTATTAATACCTACTATAATACGGCAACTACCGATCGTCTGCTTTTATCTAATACTTTTAAAGCGGATTATAGTATCTATTATAATTCAATTATTTCGAAACTAGTTTATAAGAATAAGGAGGAAGTTAGATTAGTAAAACGGTTTAATAGTTTACCCTAGATTAATAGCCTACTCTATTAAGGAGTGATTCTAGAGAAGATATAATAATAGTCTTCTATTTAAACAACTACTCGAACGACTTACTTTTATAAACCGAATTCTTCTAATTTAGACTCGGATTTAGATAAAGAGTTTAATCGAATTAATAAGTCTATTTCGACTTATAAAATTTATCGTCGACTTAGTTATATAAGAAGACCGTATATCAAAGCTTCTCTTTCTAATACTATTCTTCTAGAGGAAGGAGACTAGGTTAAACTTTATAACTTTAACTATAAAACTTATTAACTTAATAAGACTAAGAAGTAGATTTCTCGGGATATATAACGTTATATAGAGAAGCTAGGTATAAAGTTTTATACGGATATATAAACTATAAACCTACCTAGACCTTATAGTAAACGTTATTAGGTACTAATTATCGATAACTATACTCGATATACCGAAGGACCGTACTTTCGAACTAAAAAGGAGATTATACCTTATATAATTACTTTCTATAAGAGATAGAAGATTCTTTATAAACATTACCTAGCTTTCTAGCGGATTAATAAAGGAATTAAATTCTATAAGTTTTAGATATAAACAGAGGAAGAAGGTATAGTTTTTAAAATTACA